GTTCCTCTTCGTGCTTATGGTCATCATATTTGTGTTCTTCATGTTCGTGACCATGACTGTAGCTGTAGTGGTGCTGTGCACTCGCCACTACGACTATACAGAACAGAATTGCTAAGATCTAATTAAAATAAGGAAATAATAAGTCAAAAGAATAATAAAACAAATTTCATTTTAGTCTCACCTTCCACGACATAATGAATTGAGCTCTATTTCCTTTCAACACCAAGTACTGATATGAAGTGAATACGTTCTCTAACTTCAGTTCAATTTATATAAAAATTTGTTTTAGACCTCCAGACATACCACTAAATATCTAAAAATTAACTTATGCTAACGCCTACTAACACTAATACAGTCTAGTGTTTTTAATGTAAGTAGACCACACATTCACAGACCTCCTTGTATATATTGCACGCTTAGGTACTTGTGATCTTCAACAGTTTTGGATATCACAATGAAACGAAGGTGAAAATTGGACACAGCGTTCATGTGTGCCTTCTATGTTTGAGTTTTACGACTTCTAGAGTGCAATTGTATAAGTCCCTTGTATACGTATGGTGCACATATGTATATACAATTTGACCTCAAATCATGCACACTCTGAACTGCCTTGCAGTTCGATAGCAACTTTTCATGTTTAGCAACAATTTAAGACCGTATGTTTGTTATCCAGTCTAGTCTGTAACCCGCCTTGTCGTTTATTACTGTCTGCTGACTGTTGATTGCTTGGTCTTGTGAATTTTTGTGAATTTTTGAATACTGGTTGTTGTTATAAATTTGAACCGCTAATGCAAATCCAAAATGAATAGAACATTATTTACAAATTCAATATTGAATTAACTTTGTAAAGTTGAAATAAAAAAATTGTTTCCTTTTTTCAAATATGAAACTAAATCCTTGTAATTAAAATATAACATTAAAATAAAGTTTCCTCCAGCTCTAACTCCAAGTCTTTATGTTGCCATGTTCAGTTTTCAAGTTTTTTGTAAAGTTATGCTATACAATTATCTGTTAGCATTTCAGTTTCTGAGATTTGTTTAACCACATATCAAATTTCTTACTGTTGGCTCCTGGACCCGTCGTCTTGTTTGTAATAACTCTTGGAGCATCTTTCTTCGCCTGTGATTGCACATGGATGTGAAGAGGTGTGAGTTACAAGAGTACTTCAATTGATGACGTAAGACAAGTTCATTGGTACCAGCGGAAATTCCTTAAAGTTTTCAATGCGGCGTTTATAGGTACATTATCTCGATATATGTAATTGCAGAGTACCGCTATCAAGACAAGTACCTACGCTAAACAGTACTGATACTATTGCTGTTATACTTATACACAAAATTTGCTGTAACTTGTTGAGTGTGTTGGAATTGATCCGTAAGTGACTATAGGTCTAATTATTACTGTGTATATCCATCGCAATAATCGCATTGAAAATAATGGTGTTTGCGTCGAAGACTGTAATTTCTTGACAGTCATTTGATTAATTACTTTGTACATTATCGTAGCAAATCGCAGTATTGTAATAAAACATGTAAATAAAAGTGATATGTTTTATTTAAGCCTTCAATAAAATCAAGTTGTGTTGCAATTCAATAAGCCTAAATGACATTTTGATAATCCTTAAATATAAGTAAAAATGTTGTCCTCATAACTCTCAAGTTTCAGTTTATGTAATAATATTAAAAAATTTATGAAAAATAATAAAATCGATGAATGTTGTTTTCGAAACTATTTATTCTGTTCTTGTATGTAATACTAGTAAACAAAGTTTCAAAATTTGAAACAAGACTATTCTGCATTTGTTTTGAATTTCTATTCTATGCTTCTATTCAGTTCAGCGGTTCATGTCGAATAACAACAACCAGTATTCAACTAATTCACCAAAAGCCAACAGGCAACAGAGCGGCGGTCCAGCGACCACACTGGACAAGAGACATACGATCTTAAATTGTTGCTAAACATAAACTGCAAAGCTATTGAAACTCATTCGAATGCACTCCAGAAGTTACAAAAGTCACAAATATTACAAGAGATCAAATGTAAATACAAGAAAGTTTGCGAATGTGTGTGTGTGTGATCCACATGTAGTAAAAACTTTGGACTTGATTAATTGTATTTGTGGTAACAAGTCTGAAGTTAATTTTTTTTTTTGCACAATTGGTCTGCCTGCTTGTCTAAAACAAATTTTTGTATAAATTGAACTGAAGTTAGAGAACGTATTCACTTCATACCAGAACTCGGTGTTGAAAGGAAATAGAGCTCAATTCATTATGTCGTGGAAGGTGAGACCAAAATGAAATTTGTTTTATTTTCTTTTAACTTATTATTTCCTAATTTTAATTAGATTTTAGCAATTCTGTTCTGTATGGTCGTAGTGGCGAGTGCACAGCACCACTACAGCTACAGTCATGGTCATGGACATGATGACCATCATGAAGATGAACACGATCATGGTCCTGCGCATTATGAATTTCATTATTCTGTGAAGGATCCTAAAACGAAGGACATTAAGAGTCAAAAGGAATCTCGTAAGGATCACAAAGTCGAAGGTTATTATGAACTAATCGATTCCGATGGACATCATCGTATTGTGCATTACAAAGCAGACAAAAAGACAGGATTTGAAGCTACGGTTGAACGTAAACCAACCAATATCAAGGTGCCAATTCCCAAGATCTCCTATGAACATCACGATGATCATCACTATGATCACCATGATAACCATCATGATGACCATCACGGAGATAATCACCATCACTATTACTCGCATCATTGAGAACATATTTAGAGAAAGTTTGAATAACCGATCATCTCGTTTTTCACACAACTACACATTTGTACATAATTCATTTTGTAATGGTTAAGTTAAGAAAATATTAAGGATATGAAGCTGTGTTAGAAGTGCACCAGCAGTTCTTCTAATCAACTTTTGAAATCGGTACAAACCGTTCTTTTTGGATTTTTTTGTTTATATATATAGATTTTAAGTGTTAATTTTATATAATAAATTCTTGTGCAGAATTAAACTGTAACACAAATATTTTCTTTTCTATCGATTTTAAGCATAGTTTATAATTATTTAACGCAACTATCTTAAAATATAGACTTTCGATACCTTATTGGATTTACTAGACATGATTTACTATTTTATGTGCACGGTACATTTGATTTGTATTTAATGAAGTTGGAATGTACTATATTTACTATTATATATAAGACACTATGCTGTATTAAATACACAGATCATGCGCGTTTTCTAGTACACACATAAATATATTTCATTATATATTTCATTGGGATATAACACAAAGATATATCATTGGATTTCTTTGAGATAATTTTCTGTGAGTCGGCATATAGTTGGTAATAGGTCGGCCAAAACTTTATGAATGTTCGTCAAGCTGATTCAAAGTGTTCAAAGCTTGAGGATTGTCCGCATAAAAACGAACGTTAGCGACCTCACAAAATCCAATATTAATGTTTTATGTTTGAGGATTGTCTACATAAAAGCGATCCTTACCGACTCCACAAAAAAAGATCCAATGATATTTTATTATTATATTCGTGTTTGTTTTTGTTTTTTAAAGAAGCTTTAAAACATTTTCGCTAACTAACAGAGATGCGAAATCTCTGAATCGACTTATAATAGCATTGCTCTATTAGATTTTTTGCTATAGCTTTATTTTAGTCAGTTTCTGTTGATATTTTTACTTAATTAATTAACATATACCATATTCTGTCAACTTTTACAGTACATCTATGACTTCTTATGGCATCATTATTACTTCAATATTATTTGCGAGGATAGAGTATTTTTATTGTAGATCATTGTGGAATTGTGTCTGAATTGTATTTTAGTCTACAAGAGCGTGTTTCTACTTCTTAATACGACCAGTGCATATATGTACTTATACGATTGTGTGGTGGTCTCTTTCCAATTCTATATCGCCAAATTGTCCATATTTACAAAAGATCGAGCTACAATGCCAATACATGGTTAGTCAAATTACTTTATAGTAATATTTCTACTCTAACAACATGCCTTCAATGAATAGTTTATAGACTTACGAATAAAACAGTACAGCTAAATGATTATTCCATTAAAAAAGTGGAACTCATCTGATACTCTCTACTGATCTTCAAATTAATGGAATATTTTATCTCGGTATTTTGCATTTAATTTGCTTAAATTTTAACTTTATGTGGGATGTGGTGTTATTGCTCCTCAGCATTGGGATATTCTGTCAACCGAATCCTTATACGATAGCCGAAGTTGTTGAGAATTATTTTTATTTTGATCTCCCACACTCTGTTATGGATAATTACGATAGTTAATATAACAATTCTTGCAAGTATGATGTTAGTACTGTACTTTTGTTCAAAGTCCCGAGTAGTATTTTATTTCCCATTTACTTTTCATTGTGCGCATCCACACCCGTATAAACAGGCATCTTTACACAGAACACAAGAGATTCCTTGGAAGTTGTTGTCGTTATAAGCCCAATATAAAATGATATCAATAAAACGGTTGAAGATCGATATAATCTATCTCCCAGATACATATATATATGTTTATATATATGTATATATATATATATATAAATATATATTTATTTGATCCCAGATATAATCATCAAATAAAGCCAAATAGAAAATAGCAAAAGTAGAGCCTATAATGCTACTTATTTGGTTGATTTATCAAGTTGAAACTTTAAGAAACAGTTAATTTAAAATGGATAATATTTCACTAACACTCGAAAAAAACAATTTTTTATTACAGTTTGATCCGCAAAAGAATTTATTATTTATAATTAACTTTCAAAATTTATATACAAAAAAGAAAGCATCGAGAAAATCAGTTTTGTAGCTACAAATAGATAGATCTGTTGTTGGAAAATACTTAACAATTTTCTAATATTTACTAAAAATAGAGAGAAGTGATTATGTACAAATGTGTAGTGGTATTAAGAATAAGACATATTTGACAAAGCCAAATATAACTAATGTGAATAGTAATGATGGTGATCGTTATGATTTTCGTGATGATCGTGATGGTCTTCATGATGTTCATAGGTAATCTTGGGAATTGGTACTTTTATTTTGGTTGGTTTACGTTCAACCGTAGCTTCAAATCCTGTCTTTTTGTCTGCTTTGTAATGCACAATACGATGATGTCCATCGGAGTCGATTAGTTCATAATAACCTTCGACTTTGTGATCCTTACGAGATTCCTTTTGACTTTTAATGTCCTTCGTTTTAGGATCTTTCACAGAATAATGAAATTCATAATGTGCAGGACCATGATCGTGTTCATCTTCGTGATGGTCATCATGTCCATGACCATGACTGTAGCTGTAGTGGTGCTGTGCACTCGCCACTACGACAATGCAGATCAGGAGCGCTAAAACCTAATATTGAAATAAGGATACATTGAGTTAAACGAAAAAATAATTTCATTTTAAACTCACCTTCCACGACATGATGTATTAAACTCCGTTTCTCCGTGTGAAGTGAATTCCTACTCTAACTTGAGTTCAATTTATATAAAAATTTGTTTAAGGTTTCCAGACAAGCCACCAGGTGCCCAAAATTTAAATTAATACTAACGCCTACAAACACAATTAATCCAGTTCAGTGTCTTTAGTATGGATCATACATGCACATACCTTCTCTAATTTACGTATAATAACTTTCAATACTTGTGATTTGAAACATTTGTGAGTTGCACAATGAAATGAAGGTGAAAATTAGATTTAGTGTACCATATGTCTATGTTTAGGTTTTGTCATTTCAGGAGTGCAATCGTATAAGTGCTTAGCATGGGTTACATGTAAGACATGAACTCAAGCTAACAGTGTTCTGCAGCGCTATTTACTTTAGTAACAATTTTTCATGTTTAGCAACTATTTAATTTAAGAAATTTAATTTAAGAAAAATGTCTGTTACTTTGCTGTTTGTTGCTGAAAACTGACGGTTGGATCTTAGTGCATTTGTTGAAATTTGGTGGCTGTCTTTCTCATATAAATTGCTTATAGATACCGAAACAAAAAAAGGATATATTAAAAAGATTTCCTGTTGTTCTTAACTATTTTTTTTACCAATTTTATACGACTACTATATAGAAACTTTAATACGAAATTAAATACAAGAAATGGAAATCCTAATCCCTTTTTTGTTAATCGATATGCTAAAACTGTGATGCTTGGTGTGATGCTTCCTATTTTTGCGGTAAATTGGCAAGGAAAATGCATCAAATAATTTTACCGTCCAGTTATCCAATAAACGTTTCAACTTGATATAAAGTTAAAATTCACTTAGGATCAAGTTATACTTACATAGTTTAGTATGACATAGTCATAGTTATAGTTTCTCAGCGCTAGGTTCGAAGTTGGGCTATATTTGGAAATTAAAATTTCCTGGCAAAATGATACATTTAACTCAAGTACCGAGTCAGAAACTATAGTAATTCTTAAGTGGATTTTAAGTTTATGGAAGATTTGAGATCGTTCTTAAAATTACGTTTGAAATGAAATTTGAGATAACTCTTAGATTAAGCATGAAACAGGCTAGAGTTCATTGCAAGTTAGCACTGGATTCTAAGCTTCTTTCAAAAGTAAATTGAAATTTCCTAGGGATTTTTTGCACTGTATTTATTGACACTTATTTATTGCAATTATTTATTATTTTTCTGTTAAAAGTTCTCAAATTTATTTATTTTATAAAATTTTCACAATGGTAATACCTAATTTATCTTATTTTTACCTAATTTACCCCACTCGATATTCTGGTAAATACCAACATTCGCTGCCATACTAACACAATTTACCATCAATTTACTCGTACTCACACACGGTATTCAATAGATGTAGAAAACATATGATGCTCTACAAATGTTCTAACTAGAGATCCATCGTTTATGAATATGTTCAGAATTACTTATGGAGAATTGCACGTCTATATTTTAATCAATAGGTATCACATCGTAGACACCGAGAGCTTTACTAACTTAGGAAGTATACTATCGGTAGATGGGGATGCTAAAAAGGACATCAATAGCCGCATTCAAAAAGCGCGAGTATCATTTGCTAGATTGCATAACATATGGCGGACGTACAATATACGTACCAATACCAAGGTAAAAATTTTAATTCATGTGTCAAATCGGTATGCCTATATGGATCGGAAACCTGGCTTGCTAACTCCGAAATCGAAAGAACACTGCACATATGTCTGGAATCCTTCTGTTACAAAAGAACTTTAATTTTTTAATTCAAGCCCCTCAATATCTTGTTGTTTTTTCATGGTAATTCGTTTTTAGGGTCGGATCTTAACAATTTCAGTATACTATATTGTTTTATTGTCTTTCTCTAACAATAACTAACTCACAGATCATTTCGCACTGCGACTTATCGATCAAATATCTCGTTTTAAATATTGAAAAAATCTTGTTGCAAGTACTTTATCGAGAATAGAAATCATGAAAAACCTAGGTGCTATCTGTCTCAACAACATGAGTGTCTAAAGAGATATCTCCGGTACCATTGCAAAGACAACACAAATTAGAAACACTTTTTTGAAGACTATTAACAGTGTAAGCGAAACAAATATTATTATATTTGGTTTCAGCTCAAGCTATCTTTAATATTACGAAAATTCATTGGATATATATATAAGCTAATGATAATTGATTGGTTTACGCGATGGTGCCAAAAAGATCAATTAAACGTCTTCTTGATCACTTAAAAAACTCGTTCGAACCATTCTATATGGCTTCTTACAAAGTACTAAATTGTATAAGCGATCACTGATTCAAGATAGATTTAATGGTAAAGAGCAGAATATATCTATAGAGAAATTGAATCTGGAGTGTTCTTTGGAGTATTATCAAAGCATTGAAATATTGTAAGATATTTAAAATTAAAACTGGGAACTCAATAAATCATATGTGGTGAAACTAAGATGAAGTGCGCCACAAATTAAGTTAGGTTATGGTAACAACAAAGATACTTCGGCTTCCGAAACGACAAATGTCGCTAGAGGTCGTGATTAATGTATATGAAAACAGATTTTATACGAAAAAAATAATAAAATACTTGAGACTGAACTTGGATACCAAGACTAATGACAAACGTTGGCGGCCCAACGTAAAGCAACGAAAATTGTTGATATCAACAGTTAACTCGGCCGTACTATACGGAGGCGAAATATAAGCTGATAAGCTGAAAGTAGAACAGAAACATATGACATATGGTACAAATTTGAGCGCCATCTGTCAATTAGTGTGTTTACAGCAGCTGTTAATGTGAGAGTACCTCAAGTGCATTTAGCGATTTTTACTATGAAAAATTCTTATTGTACGCGATTTTTTGACCAGACACTGCACCACTGTCATCGCTCAGACACCATATTCGCCAGATCTGGATCCGTGCGACTTTTTCCTGTTCCCGAAACTCAAATTGCCCCTTCGTGGTTGGTGTTTTGAGTCGATTGAGTCGGTAAAAATAAATTCGCTGTTCCTTCAGCCATAAAAGCCATAACTTCATGGGCCTCCGAAAAGTGTGTGGAAAATTGGGTTAAGCGTTGGCATTGTGTATCGCTTCAGAAGGAGCATATTTTGAAGAAGATAAAATAAATTTGGAATAAAATTTAAATTTGTGTTTTATTTACAAAATCCGAGTACTTTTTGAGCAGAAGGTATCTCTCATAAATTAATTTTTTTAATTGATTAAACTTTAACTGGATGGAGGCTTTCCTCCAATATGCTACACTCATGTATCAAATGGTCGTTTAGAGTAGATCGACAGGTCAAGGCAGCTATTAAAATATATTTTAATTATAAGTGAAAAAAGTTTATACATTTTTCTTACCAAAACGACAATTTATTAAAAAACATGATTTGGAGAGATTAGTATAACTAATTTTCTATAAAAAAAAACAATCAATGAACTACATTAATAACACACAAATATTAATATTGTGTTTAGGAACTTCAAATATTATAGTTTGAAGTCATGAATTATAACAAAATATATTAATTTTATTAAATATTTTTTACAATATTGCAAAAGCACTTGTAACAAGTGTCGTTGGTAGCCCACTATATATTTCGAAAGTGTGACAAGTTTTCTCAAAATCACACATAAAGTATTTATTAAACTCAATATTTTTTTGATCATTAAACCAAAGTTGTAAGACAACATTTTTTAATTTTAATAATTAATTATGTTTTTTAATTTTCTTAAGATAATATCCTTTGAATTTAAATTAAGCATTTCATGTCAATTTCTAATACATGTATGTATGTATACTTGGCTTAAATGTCGTCAAAGTCCAAGAACCTGTAAGAACACAAAATTTCATTGAAGCAAAATACTTATATATTCACGAGCGTAGCCAGCAAGTGGGACATAAAGGCTCCAAGAATTCAATGCTAAAGTGAAAAGAGAATCGTACCGAAATAAATATATATCGGTTTAGCATCATACAATTTAATACCTGGAGTGTATAAATTACATATTCATTGAATATTTCTGTGGGCATGTGTGAATGAAGATCACCCTATTGCAGAAGACCAGTATGAACTATAACAAAACGACAACGAGGAAAGAACAGTCGGCGGACGCCGTGATTCGCGATAGTCATATTCATCTACCAATGTATTTTAATCTTTAATAATTCAATATATTAAATGAAATAGTAAAAGAAGTATTAAGCATCTTTAATATTTACTTTGCACATGTTATACAGACAGTCATATGACTAATGGTCACGACAATTGTATGCTCTTTTAGGTCATAACCAAAAGACATGTATCTGCACAGAGAGGCATATCATACTTGTCAATTGCTGTTATTATTGCTTTGGTAATTTTTTTATTTCTAAATTTAAAATATATTTACTTTTATTTGTATATAAAAATACAAATCCTATTTACTTCTAAAAGGCGCAAATTCTGATATTTTTAACTGAACAACATTATTTGGATCAACATAACGAGGCACACAAGGCCTTGTGACCGTGAACAAATTTAAATCGACATTTCCATAATTCTCTCCTTTTTAAGTTACGTTGAAAACAACAACAATTTTAAATTTGATGTGCCCATGACTTTCTGTATAATTCTATTCTCTAATTCTAATTCTATCTCTAATTCTAGCTCTAATTCTATTTGAGTACTTACAACACTGGATTATTTAGAGATTATTTTGTGGCAGCATACTGTTGAAACCATATATTTTCCACATCCAAATTTTCACTTTCACCCACAATGTACTCATTTTATACACTATATACCATAATTCGCCGACATGTTAGTTGAATTTTGTTGGGACTCAACTATATGCCATAATGTTAATTGAGATAACCACAAATGCTATGCATTAGTTTTAATATTCCTTAAAGTTGTCAGTAAGAACATCAATACTTTAAGCCAAGCATGCGTTTCGATGATGACTAGGTCTTAACATATTTGTTATTCAAA